CGGGTCCGGGCTGGGGATTCGAACCCGCCACCTTAGGTGTACGTGGCTGGCGCCTTAGCCGGTTGAGCTATAGGCGCCGAGCCTTACATGACTCTTGAAAAGAGGGACATGGCGTGCAGTGTGTCCAAAATGTGTGTAAGCCCAAAACCCTTTTTTCAGACTACCTTGTGAAACCCTAGCTTTTTGCAGGGGTGAGAGGGAGGAGAGTAGGGCACCATTACTAGAGGTACTGCAATACTAGGTTGATGTGTGGAGTGGACAGAGCAAGTTCCTCTTCCATCTTCCTGCTCCCCAAATTCATTTACTATATCGTCCTCAGCTAGAGGGTATATCTGAAATTAAGCTGATAAGAACCCACACACGATCTTAGCCAAAAGGCCAAAAGTGATGAGACTTCAGCCTTTTGAAATGACTAGACTTTGAAACTGTTGATCTGGGTGGTTGTCCAGCATCTAGTTCTTATTCATTTGCTTCTGACTCTCATGGGCTTGTCCTTAACTTGGCCTAACTCTTGTTAGGGTTGTATGAACAACACCCGCTTTTCAGGGACCTGTCCATCTGTACTCTTTCCCCAGACTGTAATGTTATGGAGTAACCAGGTACACAAAAGTGTGACTTGGCACCTGTAGCTCAGTGGCTAGGGTGCCAGCCACCTACACCAGAGGTGACCGGTTTGAATCCAGCCCAGGCCTGCCAAACAACAGTGACAACTACAACAACAAAATAGCTAGGCGTTGTGGTGGGTGCCTGTCATCCCAGCTACTTGCGAGGCTGAGGCAAGAGAATCGCTTAAGCCCAAGAATTTGAGGTTGCTATGAGCTGTGATGCCATGGCACTCTACCCAGGGCCACAGCTTGAGACTCTGTCCCCACTACCCGCAAAAAAGGTACGCAAATGTGCCAGGGTGCTGCTGAACCTCTGGCTGCAGTTGTTTGGACCAGGGTTGGCACTTGACCCAAGCTGAGTCATTCAGATAACCTGGTTGAGCCTCCAGAGCTGAGAAGAGTGAGGTTTGGTCTCTCTTCTCTTCTTGTGAATAACTCTATAGTATGTAGATTAGAGAGCTGCTCCTGGGGTGATTTCTGTCTGGAGGGCCAGAGAAAGTATGAGGATAGGGCAGGGGAGCAAAGGAGAAGAGATAAAAGATAAAAGATAGAAGACAGGGGAAGTTCAAGACCCTGGTTCCTACTTTCTCCTGAAGCCCTGTTGCTTTCCTATTCTGATGCCTTTAAATAAATCCCCCCCCCCTTGCTTAATTATACTCTAATGGCTTGGTCCAAGTCTATACTTGATTCCTGGGCCCTTGCCAGGCCTCCGTTATCCTTTTGGCCCCCTCTCTGGGTCCCTGTGTCATGGCCCCTGAACACCCCTCCTGACGTTTTGACCCTCAAGATTCTGCTCTTGTTCTCAACTTTGCCAATTCTTTGACAGTGGCGTCTTCTAGCAGCTCTCCTGGCCCATGTCTAAGGGTCTGCCACCCTTTTAAGATTTGGACACCCTCAGAAAAGAACCTGCTTGGCGTTTCAGAAAAGAGATTCAGGGTGGTGATCTCAGTAACAACCAAAAACACTTCCCGGCTGGTAATGAAAACAGCCCTCAGCAGAGGTTGCAATTTGTGGAATAAAAAGGACCGAACCAACGGGAAAGGTGGCAACCTTTGAATTATAGAATGAGAGGCAGTCAGGCAACAAGGATGTAGGATCCCGGCCCTGTGGCTCAGGGCAAGTCTTCTTGCCAGCAACATCCTTTCTGTGATGAGGACATTCATTCATTCAGCCAGTATTCCCTGAGGAATGAGGGTGTGATAGATACTATGAGGTAGATCGGTCCTGTGCTACACCTTAGGGATATAGACATTAATGAGGCCTGATTCTCATTCTGGAGGAGTTCTTAGTCTGACAACAAGACAAACTTATTCCCCAACATTTATTCTAAGGTACAAGCAACAACAGGGAAGAGGTGGCCGGCCACTAGTTGCTATGGGAACTCTGGAGTGAGGGAACACACCTGACTTCCCAGTAGTGGTAGTGAGGAGGGGATGCTGTTTCTAGTTGGATGCTATTCTTGAAAGATTGGGGTGGGGGGAGGGGAGGCTGGCCTGTGGAAGAGAAGGAAAGATATTGCAGGAAGAGAAGCAAAATGTGCAAAACCGTGAGTGTGATCAGGAAGAAGCAGAGGGCAAATATGAAGACGCACCATAGAATGAGGCTGGAAAGGGCTCCACTGTCCTCCTAGTGACAGTGGAGCTATCTTAGGGGGAGCTATGATGGGGTAGGACAGGTACCATGGGTAGCAGCGTGGGCGCAGTTTGGTGTCACTGACCCTGAAGACAGATCAGCTAAGAGGCCCCTGGAGACCACTGCACATGTTTCAGAAGCATCATTAACCATGGCAGGCTGTGAGGAATGACGGTGAAGGGCACAGCAGGATTTGGGCACAGCTAGGTCCAGGATACAGCCCAAGGAGAAGTTGTGAAGCAGCTGAATCTCCCTGTCATGGTGGGTGCTGCTGGGTTGTCCTGCTGCTGCTCAGATCCACCTGCCTCTAGTTGGAGAATCAGCGGGCAGTGGGAGGCCAAAGGGCAGAAACCAGGGCTCCAGGAAATACCAGAAGATTCTAGGAGAGAAACCCCAAGATGACACAGCATGATTCCCCCAGAAAATGGAACAGAAGTGGCTGCTTCACTCAGCTGATGACTGCTTAGCCAAGACCCAGTTTTGAAACAAATCTACCTCCCGGTCCCGCCTCCCAACAAGCCCTCCAAGTCTTCAGTCCCTTCCCCTCACCTCCCAGGAGCAAGGCTTGCTCCAGCATCTTCTCTCGCTCCTGCATGGCAGGAGCCTCTGTTTCCCTCCTTGACCTTGTTAAAAACAATATCTTACGTTAACTGATTACTCCCCCTGTGCTTTGTGCAGTGCTAAGTGGCTCACATACACTATCTCATTGAATCATTACAGTAACCATAGGAAACAGGTATTGCTAGTTTCACCATTTTATAGACAAGGAAGTGGAGGCTTAGGACAGGTTATCTTGCCCAAAGTCACAGAGCTATTTAGCAGTGGGGCTCTGATTTGAACCCAAGCAGTCTGACAATGGAGCCCAGTCTGGGAACCCCTATCCTACCTTTTGCATTGTCTTTAGGTCCCTTGTTCTCCTCATCCCTGTTTGAAATATTTGGAAAAGACAGTCTACACTTGCTGCCTTTTTTGCTTTATTTCCCGTACCTTAAACCCTGTTGATCTGGCTTTCATTCTCAGGGGCTTCCTTGTTTCTACATCGGTATTTTTCAACCTTTTTTTTTGTCTCATGGCACACTTGAACCTGTAGTTAAACTTCCGTGGGACACTTAATTTTTTTTTTTTTTTGCTGTTTTTGGCCAGGGCTGGGTTTGAACTGGCCACCTCCAGCATATGGGGCCGGTGCCCTACTCCTTGAGCCACAGGCACTGCCCGGGACACTTAATGTATGTTGATCTAAAGAAAAAAAGAGGCTCGGCTCCTATGGCTCAACCGGCTAAGGCGCCAGCCATGTACACCTAAGGTGGCAGGTTCGAATCCCCAGCCCGGACCCGCCAAACAACAATGACGGCTGCAACCAAAAAATAGCCGGGCGTTGTGGCGGGCGCCTGTGGTCCCAGCTACTTGGGAGGCAGAGACAAGAGACTCACTTGAGCCCAGGAGTTGGAGGTTGCTGTGAGCTGTAATGCCATGGCACTCTACCCAGGGGGACAGCTTGAGGCTCTGTCTCAAAAAAAAAAAAAAAGAAAAGAAAAAAAGAAAAAGAATATATTTACTATGCTTGGAATTTTTTCCAAAACTAATTTAATTAATGATCTCTAAAGTTTTTCACAGCACACCACTATGCGGTGGCACACTGGTTAGAAATCACTAATTCTCCTCCCACTTCCTGCAGCACTCAAGGCCATGGATGAGCACCTTATTTGGGCCCTGTGCAGTTTACCCCATGACTGTTAATCCCCCTGCAGGGGTTTCCTTCTGCTTCTCAAAATCCATTTCTCTGCCTCCTTCTCTTCTCCCAACACAATTTAAGTATTCCCCAAAGTTCCATTATCAACGTTCTCTTCTCTAGACACACCTCCCTCTTAGCTGTATTCTGTATTGATTCTGTATTGACTTCTGTAGGTCGCCTCTCCTAGGTTTGACTTCTTTGTAGAGCAACAGACATATGTAAACATGCCATAGGCCTATTGCAGGTGCCTGATTTATGACCCCTACTGGCCCCCTGGTCCTAGTTCAGCTTTCTCCCAAAGCTGCCCTTCCCTTCTAGGGTCCCTGGTCAGTGAAGAGTTCTATCTCTCCCAGTCACTCAGGCTGTAAAACATGGAGCCTCTTAAGGTAACCCTGGATCCTGAATTCCACATCTCCATGGAATCTTCCCAAGACCTATCTCTCTCTGTCATTATCTGTCCTTTTCCCCTGGACTCTCATTGTATCCTGCCCCTTTGCCAGCTTCCATGCATCTCTCTCTCTCTCTCTCTCTCTCTCTCTCTCTCACACACACACACACACACACACCCCTAGCTGTGGGCTGGGTATGATGCCTGGTCCAAGGAATTTAGCTGTGAACTGGAAAGACAAGGTCCCTCCTGTCAAGGACCTCAGACCTGGTAGGTGAGACAGACAAAGCAACAAGTAATTGCCGCTTAGACTTAAAGTACAGTGTGTTTGCTGTAGGACCTCTTTAGCAGAAGTGCCATCTGCAGTTGAGAATTCAGGAAGTCTTCCTGGTGGAAATGACAATTTCAACTTAGGCTTGAAAATGGAAACAGAAGGCAGTGAGGTGAAGGCGGGAAGCTAGAGAAGGCAAGTGAGAGAAGTGAGCACTAGAGGCCAGGAGACCAGATGGGAAGGGTTTGGAAACTGGGAAGAGTATGCTTTATTCGAGGAACTATTGGTGATTTAGTGTGAATAAGGGCGGAGGATGAAGAGGAGTAGTGAGAAGTGTGGCTGCAGGGGTAAGCAAGGTCCAGATCATGCAGGGTCTCTTGAACTGAGTTAAGGAGTTAGCAGTTTGTCCTCAGAGCACTGGAGAGCCACTGGAGAGTTTTAAACAAATGAAGGGACATGATTAATATGCATTTTAGAAAATGTTACAGCATAAAAAATGGATTTGGAGTAGTCAAGACCAGAGGTTTGTTAGGCCACAGTTAAGAAGTCATTGTTACCATCTGGGCAAAAGCGATGATGATGGCTCTGATCAACCAAAAAGCCACAGCCTGGAAAGAAATAAATAAGTTTGGAGGGATATTCGTGACAGAAGGTTGATGTATTGGTGATTGATTATATATCAGGGAAAGGAAGCGGGAAGGGTCTAAAATGAAGGTGAAAATGCATTCACAAAGGGAACAGTTGGGGTAGCCTGGTTTGAA